AATAATAATAATAATAATAATAATAATAATAATAATAATAATAATAATAATAGTTGGAAGGGACCTTGGAGGTCTTCTAGTCCAACCCCCTGCTCAGGCAGGAAACCCTATACCATTTCATACAAATGGCTATCCAATCTCTTTTTTAAAACTTCCAGTGTTGGAGCATTCACAAGTTCTGGAGGCAGGTTGTTCCGCTGATTAATTGTTCTCACTGTCAGGAAAATTCTCCTTAGTTTTAGGTTTCTTTTCACTTTGATTAGTTTCCATCCAAGAAGTCATTATTTGGCCCGAGGTCATGCAAAAAACAAATGCATTTTAGGAATAAATAAATAATTTCTATCACAATAGTGTAAAATTCCGCTGACTTTCTCTAAGTGATATTCAAGGAGAGCAGCAGGATTAGGTCCAAACAAATGGGGCCATATGGAAAGAAGAACCTGCCCTGGTTTGTCACATCACTACTCAGGAATGTCCAACATTTAGTCATTTATGCCAAAAACCAGATGAATTTCAGACCAGAAACCTGTCATGATCTTCTGGAGTCCTATTCTCTGTGTTGAAGTTCTCAGAGGCTAATTTCTCACAAGTTGAATTGGTTGAAAGGATTAGCCAGTGACATCACTGATGCCTGGTTGGGGCTTCTTTCATGTCCCTGGCAACAGCTGGAGTGAAGGATGAGAGTGCAATCCCACCCATGGCAGCTCCTGCCCAATGTTCCAACCACTCAAGCCACCATGCTCCTATAAACCAAGGTTAAAAAGAATCGAGTGCCAATTTGCAGGTTGGATTCAGGATATGGATTGAGGGAGATGGTTCTGCATGAATTTCAACTAGGACTCCAACTGACCTGTTTACACCCACAAGCACACCTAGATTGCTATCTTGCTTTGGGCTGACACCTCCTTCCTGCGATGGTCACCTTCTGAACATTGGGCAACTGTTGAAGACTTTTCAAGACCTTAATGGAAGGTATTTCCTCAATGGATCTTATGGATACCTGGTTTGGTTCACTTTTCTTATAATTGCTGTATTAATATTCTTTTAGATTCATTGATATGGTAGCATACAGATATTTAACCAATAATTGAAGAAATGCACATGGGGAGCTTCCTCTCTAAAGATCTGTGGACTAGATAGAAAGTCAGAGAAATTACCTGCCAGGACTGGACATTTGAGATCCTCTTTCCAAGCTTCATTATGGTTGGTTGAACTCTTGATTCATACATTGCATGTAATGTGTGTGCCAGAGCATAAACAGCATTGTAGATAATGTAACTTTCACCTGTCATGCTTGTTTCAAATACGTAAGATGGCAGATTCTGCAGATTCTCCTTTCCTGTACATTGGTGTTTCCACTTTTTAGGGATCACTCCTGG